AACAAAAAGAGGCGGAAAGCAGGCTATTTTCGTTCTGGCAATTGATTCGGGTAGAATCATACACTACAAGAAACATCAATCGGGAACTAGTGGCAACATCGGAAGAGGACGATAAATTTCCGGAGGAAACCAATCAAGTACCAATCAGCATCACTCCGGCTCATCCAAGCGAAAGAAAGTTGAGCGATGTTCAAGTAATCGAGGTGTATCTGACAACCACAGAAGACATGGAGAGCGACCAAGAGGTGTGCGCGATCGAACCACCCAAAAAGTCCAATAAACAAAAGGAACAGAAGCTGCAGAAACAACAAACGGAGCAGTCACTGGACAACCTCTCCAAAATCATAGCTAAAGCGAAAAATTGACTATTCTCGGGAGAATCTGAAGACAGTCAGAAAGGCGAAACTCAGCAGGGACACCAGCCCACTGCATAAACAGCAAGTACACTCAGACAGGGATCGTCAGAGTGCAAAAGCTCTCAAGGAACTACTGGAAGCGAACGCTCGCCGGAACGAGGAAAAGAGAGACGCAGCGAAAAACGACATACAGCGGATTGCCGATGAAATAGGCCTATCTAACTCAAAACTACGAAAAGAAATGATCTACTCCTGGGAGAGGGATTCATAGAGGTTAAGAAACAAGAAAATACGCAGTCTCCGAAGAAGACAATTTTGTGTAAGGACAAATTAGGTACGAGTGGCCAAGCGCTCACACAACCGCTAAAAGGGAAAATATCGACAGAAACGGGTTCAACAGTCAAAATATCGAAAGAATCAATTTACAGAGAATCGGATATCGCTCGAGCGAAAACTTACTTGCAACAAGAGAAAACGCGGAGCGAAAGCAAAAGTCCATTGGCGGAACCACACAAGAAGCTTCAAAAAAACATTTCCCCAGAAACTTTGAAGGACATTGATTCGGATGAAGAACTGCGACGGGCCGTGGAAACAGCAGATTTTATGAACCCAGTGGATCGGTTCCAACAAAGCAAAACAGTCAAAACCTCAAAAGACGCGGAAGCTGAAGAGGGTCTAAATCTTGCCATCAAACGAACGAAGCCAAATATAGAGGACCTTAGTTCGATATCTGGACCTAAAACTCAGGAAGATGTTGCATTTAAAAATAAGAAAAAAAAACACGAAAGGCGAGAAAACAGACAATAAACCAGAAAAATTGCCCAAACAAACTGCTACCGCAGTCGACCAGAGCAACGAACAATCACATCCACTTTAGATACCTCGAATAAAGACGTTCAAATGAGCTCCACTCCAAAAAACAAACAAAAGGCCAAACTGAAAGAGATAGACTCAGAAAGACGACCTGGGGACATCCTCGACACATTTCAAAACTGAAACCTGGCACCAGCGGAGTGGGAGAACTTTGCGGACCAACTTCTCAAGAGGGGGCTCAAAAGGTCGCGGACGATCTCAGAGGACATGTTAAGCCAGCATTTGAATGGCATACAAGATTTGAGCCTCCTCAGGGGGTTTCAGACGATTCTAGCGCCCAAAAATTGGGAGTCCGACGAAGCTCAAGACAGACTAGAGTAAAGAGCCAAAACGGTTTGGGGACCCGGTCAATCATTCCATCAAGGAAGTATCGGAGGAGTTATCAGGGGGAGCACTTCTCAAGGCCGCACTCCAGGAGTACCGAAGAAGACTAATGGACTTCCAAGAACGGAGCGACAGGCCTATAGAGTCCAAATTACGCCTACTGGAAAGACACTTATTCAGGACGAAAATCGGCTACGCAACGCTGGACAAAGGAAAAAATTGGAATCCTTGCCGGAGAATCGAGCTGGAAGAAAACTAAGGAAAATGAAAGTCTGCAATTAAAAAATCTTCCAAATTCGGATACTCTTTGTGAACTGAGTGTACAAAACTTTTTATAGTATAATCTATTTCATATATAGAAAAATTTATTTTCCCTCGAGGGGGTATTTCATACTGCTACTGCAATAGCAGTAAGCGCTTGATGTAATAATAACCTTCAGTGGTATCAATTATGATTATTATGATGTGTCCAAGGGCAGGCGTTCAGAGACATTGGTACACAGCTGAGAGCTCAGAGTTTGAATCTGCTGTATCACTCTCAGTGACTATAAAATAGACAGAGAAAACAATTAATTCAAGCAACCAAGAATACATTCTTGAATTATCACTAGTTTTCCAACAAGATACCGTATAGGATATCACAGTATCGTCAGAGATAAAATAGAAATTTTTTTGGCAAAAAATACTAGTAGTACAATTTTCATAAATGGAAAATGTATGACTAGCATTCATTTGATGACGTCACCAAATTTTTAAACAACATTCTCAACTATTTCAAGATCAAAATGATTTTTGAACTAAGAAAAAAACCATTTCTCAAAAACGTTCAAAAGCTAATTTTTTTTGCCCATAACATAGTCCTGGATACGCAAAAATGGGTTCCTTCCAGTTTCTCTAAAAAAACATTAAAACGCTTTTAAAGTAATTTTTTGTGTTGCATATTTTTCCGTCGGCGAAGCATGTTCAAAAAAATTTAAAATTCAACTGCTTTTCTTAGAACTTTTGCCGGAGTTACAAAGTTTGCTACTTTAATTTTGTCGTTTGGGTAAGACATGTGTATTTCAATCGTTTGTGCTGCCTTTTGAGTTACCAGGCTGGCTGTTTGTCACTTATGTTTGGTTTGTACCCAACCGAAAACTCTTGCAAAGAAATTAAATAGAAAAATAAAAACAATAAAAAATGCTAGTCATACAATTTCCATATAGGAAAAACCATTAATCATAGAACTTTTATGCAATTTTTTGTATTCAATGAATTGTATGGAAAAAGTATGAGTAGCGTTTTTCCAAATATGCAAACTACGTTTTTGGTCAACCAGGGTACTTAAAGTAAACTACAAATGAGAGGAATTCAAAATCACAAAAATCAACACGAAAACCAAGTACTGATATAAAGACACTGCCCGTACTGAACTTTTTGTGCCATTTCACGGCTGATCATCCATTTAGCAGGGGAGAGAATATTCTCAGGACTGTTCCCCCATTATGCAGGGCTGTTCACAAGTGAGCATGCGTATTTTTCTACAGACGTGGTCGTACCTGGATCTTACATGATCAGACCTGAGTGAAACATGTTCATGCCTGTCGCAGACATGATAACGACTGACTGGAAACTTGACAAATTCATATTTATTTATACATTACTTCGTATCTTGACTAATTGGTCTTTGTTGTTAAAAATTCACTTTTTCAGATTTTGTTTGAACTGAGCTTATCCAAATTTACCTCCTCGAGTCAAATATCTTCAAATGAAGAAAATTATGTCGCATCTACATCCCAAAGAGGAGGACGTCAGGTTAGTTTCAGGGGGTCAACGGGAGGGATAGTCGAAAAAACTAAGAATCCCCGGTTTGAACTATAAAGCATTGAATTGAAGCAATTCGTCACAAAATTTTTTGGCCAATAATCCTTCAATTTTCGCGAACCAGTAGCCGCAATAATTGCGAATAAATAAAAAAGATTTGATTGGTTGATACTGATGATCTCATTGAATAAATTAACAAAAAATGTGCGACTACTTTTTAACGCATGATTTTTGCAAAATTTGATTGGAACATAAAAATTTTTAAATTTTCGCAAACCAGTAGCCACAATAATTGCAAACAAATTAAAAAGATTTGATTGGTTGATACTATTAATCTCATTGAAAAAATTAACAACAAATTACTTTTTAACGCATGATTTTTGTCTAATTTTATTTGTTAAGCATTTATTTAAAGTGATGAAGTTTTGATTAATAATTAGTTTTATGTTGACAGGAAACAGAGAAAAGTATCCACACGCCCCGCTACCAACGACTCCCTGCTGGCAATTAAAGAAAGATGCATCTAACCACTACAGTAAATTTTCAACAAAAAACTTCACCGATGTCAGAAAAAGTCTGAAAAAAAAACTAAAAATTTGAAGTTAAGTGTCACATTATCAAGCTGAGTTTATGATGTTGTTACAATTTAACCATTTCTTTAATTATCTTATAATACTGAAGATACCGATTTGAGCATATTCGGTTCAGGCATGGTCATGTATCCTGCAGATGTGAGCATGTTTAGTTCAGGTATGATAATGTATCCTGCAGGTGCGAGCATGTTTAGTTCAGGTATGATCATGTATCCTGCAGGTGTGAGCATGTTCAGTTCAGGCATGATCATGCATGCTGCAGGTGTGAGCATATCTTCAGTTAGCACACCTGATGCAGGTCTGATGCAGGTATGTGCATGCCGAATATAGACATGCTGCACATCTGTTACAGACATGAATTTTGCATGATTTTACAATGATCAGATATGATTATGGCCAAAAAGTTCGGTACGGGTGATATAAAAACTACAAATGAGAGGAATTCAAAATCACAAAAATCAACACGAAAACCAAACACTATAAAGACAATATTTAAACAAAACATTTTGTCCCAATAATGTCTTTATAGTGTTCTGGGAGTGCCCGGAAAATCAATTTAATCGGCCAAAAAAAAGGTCAACAAACTTTTTGAAAATCCACTTCTGAAAATCCTAGATCCGCCCTTTCTCAAGAGTTATAGAATTTGTGAAAGTTTTGTTTCAATTTTTTTTAACTCCTACTCTTTTCTGGCTGTCAATTTTTAATGTCTTTTACTTTTTTGTTTGAAAAAATTTATATCAGTACTTGGTTTTCGTGTTGATTTTTGTGATTTTGAATTCCTCTCATTTGTAGTTTATTTTAAGTACCCTGGTTGACCAAAAACTTAGTTTACATATGTGGAAAAACGCTACTCATACACTTTCCATGCAAAATTTGCGCCCAAGATGCTTGTAGAAAAAACTTAGGGTTGGTCAACCAAAAATGGAAGTCATAAATTAATAGCAAAAGGGGAAACCTTTGGTTGGTGAAGGGGCCGAATCTCGCAGAAGGCGGGGGGGGGGGGGGGGGGGAGAGGTGTGATTAGTATACTCTTATCGTTGTTGACCCTAACCTTCTTGTACATTTTGTAGCCGAGATCCTGCGCCTCATGAGCTCTGATGATGGCCAACAGTCCGTTGGCCTCTATGAAGCTACAGGCAGCTGCATATGAATAGTAGTAGCTGCACCCTCTGGCTGTATTGTGGCAGAAGAACTCATCATCATCCTCCTCCCCAAAATCAGTCCTGGGATCTGCCCAGAGTAGATCACACATGGGTCCATTCTTAGGAGGTTCACGGAACCTACAAATGAGGTTAAGATATTCATAGGCCTATGAGGCTAACAAGCGACACGTATGATATTGACAAAAGTGACCAATGGTCTGAAAAAAAAACTAACATTTGAAAAATTGAGAGATCGATGAAAAGAAGTTTAGCCGTTACCAGCTAAAACGTAGACTTTTGTAGCAGTGCATTTCTGAATTGATTAAATTGAACTATGTAATTAACTATGACTTTGGGCAAATTGTCGTTTCAAACCATTGTAGCTTTCGGCTAACTGCCGCTTATCCACAAGAGGTATTTATCTTTTAATGGAATACTATTTTTAAGATAAAATAATTAGATTTTGTGTTGACCTCTGTTGAACCGGTCAAGCAATAAAAACAAAAAACATAATCGACCGTATCGTACTCTTATATTCGTTGTACCTACAAACAACGCAAAACACAGCAAAAATAGAAATACCTGTCTATCTTTCGGATCTCTTCTACGGAGTGGATGGTAGGTGAGAGGCCTCCATGGACACAGAGAAACTTCTGACTCATGATGCATGCGAGGGGCAGACAGTCGAATGCCCTCATGATCTGCCAACACAGTTTAAAAAACGCAATTTTTTGTTCAAAATTTTCTCAAAACTGAAAATAATTGACAAAACTCCAGATTTCTTTTTGAAAATCCCCCCCTCAAGAAAACCCTAGATCCTCCCCTGGTTTTGCGATAATAACAGTCCAGTAGTGAGAGACTATTGTAAATCAACCCAAAAAGGAAAGTATTGTAAAATTGAGACTATTAAGTTTTATTTCCGAAAAGGCCTCCGGTTAAAACCTATTCCCTTTGAAACTGAACTAAATGATAAAATTGGCTTTTTGAAAGTTAAACAAGACTGCTCGTATCAGAGCGAAGCCCTGAATGTTCCAACTGCCTTTTAAGGTTTATGGAGCAGCAGTAATAACATAAAAATTTAAATGAAATAAAACAAAATGAAACAATATTTCCCACACGCCATATAAAGTACAAAAAGATAGATTTCGCTCCTTGTAACAAATCAATTATGACAAATAAGCTTCTTTCAACCAATTTGGAACGATTTCTAAGACGGATTAATTCTCCGCTTACGCGTTAATAGCGCGAAATATATCCCGCGTTAATTGTCCTAAATTGGCCAAAATGGCAATCTTTAAACCCCCATAACTTTACAAAAAAAGATCACAGGTAAAATATCTTTTCAAATTTGAGCAGGACAACAGGACAACAATACCTTTTGAATGGTATAAAAAAATTCAGTCAAAAATGGCTAGTCAAAAAGTCGAAATTTGTCTGAAGAAAAAAAAACCCACCCCGAGCACAAATATTCCGTTACTTTCGCATCGAAAGTCGGAACAATTAAGTGTACCGACAAGAAGACAACCTAATTTTTTCAGTTTCATTATATGCGTTTCTACTCTATGCTATACTACCATATATTCAAAACAACGCCATTAGCTGAAATGCTTTCAACTATAACAGTTTATGCAGATAAAACATGTCGAGATTTTGTGAGGTTTTGTGGTGTGATTTAACATTGAGTTAAACAACAACTACTTAGAGCATATAACGCTTATGTAAAACCCATTTTACAATACGAAAATTTAGCTTGTGCATAACAGAAAAAAATATATTTTAGAAACAGTTGAACCTAAAACAAAACGGTTTTTGAGAATTATTTGCTTCAAAAGAAAATATGACAGCATAGAAGACAAAAACAACAATCTACTACATAAAGGAGTAACATATATCTGAATCATTAAATTTGTTATGTACAGGTTTTGAGGATATTTTTTGTCGAGCATAATTCAGGAAGCTGTAAATGATCAAAGTGTCAATAAAATTTTGAGTAAGAGACTTTAAGCTAGGCAGATACTTTTGCACACAAAGGTTTACCAAAAAAGTCAATAACATTTAGAATTAGAAAAGCAATGAAATTTGTTTTATAATGCTACCCATTTTGTATGGAATCAGGGCAATACGGAATACCAAATACAAATCTTCAGTCATGATTTTTTGGACAACTACATTCTAGGAAACTACTAATTGGTGAAACTATTTTTTGAGTAGAAAATTAAGTTTAAATTTAAAAAACTGCTGTCAAGTGAAGGTATAGATAGTATTTAACTTTTTTCAACTGTTTTTGTTTCGACTTTCGATACAAAAGTAGCGGAATATTTGTGATCGGGGTGGGTTTTTTATCTTCAGACAAATTTCGACTTTTTATCTAGCAATTTTCGACTGAATTTTTTTATATCATTCGAAAGGTATTGTTGTCCTGAGCTTAAATTTGAAAAAATAACTCACCTGTGGTCATTTTTCGTAAAGTTATGACGGTTCAAAATTGCCATTTTCGCCATTTTGACCAATTTGGGACAATTAACGCGCGATATATCTCGCGCTATTAACGCTTAAGCTGAGATTTATTCCGTCCTATACATCGTTCCAAATTGGTTGAACGAAGCTTATTTGCCATAATTGATTTGTTACAAGGAACGAAATCTATCTTTTTGTACTTTATATGGCGTGTTGGGCGATGATTTTCATAAAAAATTTCAAATTAAAAAAAAATGTTCATTTTATTTTATTTCATTTAAATTTTTTTTGTTATTACTGCTGCTTCATAAACCTTAAAGGCAGTCGGAACGCTCAAGGCTTCGCCCTGATACGAGCAGTCTTGTTCGTTTTTCTGTTTTATTGCATTCAATAGCTTTATTGATCAATGAGTGATCAAATATCGATAGTAACAAAGTCATTTAGGAATTAGAGGCGCGTGAAAACTGGATGCCAAGTTCAACGGCGTTTTCGCAACGAGATTCCATTTTGCTGTGACTGTTCTGAAAATTAGAGTGAATAGAATCTATATAGTAACGTATTGTGATTATTATTAAGACATAAAACACTCGGCAGTTGCCGACATTGTTGTACCTCGCAGTAGAGAGCGAGTGAGTACTTGACAGTGCACTCCTCTTTGAAGGTGAAGAAGGCAGTCAAGTGTCTGCACTCGTGGTTGCCCCTCAGCAGGTGCAGCTGTTTGGGGTGGAGGATCTTGAGGGAGAACAGGTACAACACCACCTCAACACTGAACATCCCACGGTCCACGTAATCGCCTGTTATTCAAAAAGTTTTCACTATCTTTCCGAACGAGAGTAATGTTTTGAAGTGAACTTTGCCTCTTCGTACATTGCAGTACTCATTTCATGCAATACTTTCATTTCCTCTTCATATTATTAACCTTAACTACCATAGCATATAATGGTCCCTTTGTTTGGGCAAAATCTATTACCAAAAAAATATACCGAAAATCGACTACGTTTTTTGAAAAAGTTTAATGCAGCGCACAAAGAATTGAATTGTAAAACTTGAATTGTTCATCGAGGCCCTACCTTTTTGATCTTTTTGTTCCGGCCATTGAAAATTGGGAGGAACTATGAACTCGGGTCTGTTTTATTTTTTTTTTTCGTTTTGTTTTCAACGCAAAATCAGATACCAAAAACAATCTTCGAACTGGGTTGAGTGATTTAACATATTAAAGCCATATACAATTTCCCAGTTTCGAGAAAAACCGGCTTGAAACTTTTGTCTTATTTCGAGTGAATTAAGCGAGCGAGCCTAATTTAAGGCCTAAAAACTCAATTTTAAACAATTAAAATTAGTTCTTGGAGTTTGTAGCTCCAGTTTAGGAATCAAAAAATTCAGAAAAAGGCAAAAGGTTTCGGCAAAAAAAAAGATTTGAAAAAAGAAAACATGTTGAAATTTTTTAATTTATTTTCATTTTTCTATTTTTTTAAAGTTGTCCAATTGGCCTATTATACTATGACTGTCGAACATGGCTAAATTATATTTTCGGTCAGATGCCTTTATCACACCACGAAGAAAAAAAATTTGAAAAAAAAACTTTCTTTGTAGTTTTTTTAAGGAAACACTGTGCTTCTTGCACATTAACCGGCTATACTTGTACCATTCTGGTATTATGTAATAACGTATGGATTTTTTTTCGATTTTTCATCTTTTTGAAAAATAAAATATTACTAATGTAATAAGTCAGTACTAATTTTGGTCAGTCGAAAAAATCCACAAAAAATTTTAGAGGCACTAGAATTGACGCGCTTCATCTAATATATAGTTTTTGTTCACCTAGAAATAATTTGTCACCTAGTCAGATTTCTCACCTAGAAATAAGTACTTGATGTCAGGCAAGGGACCACCTACGTCAAACAGGTGTACTAAGTCGTAAAACTGGCCATGTATATCTCCACATATAGTTAATGGTGCCTGCAAATCCAAAACGGTGTTTTCTTTTTTCAATATTGCAGAAGCCTCCCGGATGATACGTAAAGCGGTGTCCTCTTTCAGTCGTCCTTCTAGTAAGAAATGTTCTTTAAGGATCTCTGGGTATATTTTGGATCCGGGGTAGACATCGAGGTCGCTGAGGCGTCTCCTGGCGATGGTTGACACGTCCTTCCGAGGTCTTTCGACTGTGCTCAGAGGAGTTGCCTTTGATTCCTCCTCATTGCTATTTGAGTGTGTCAGCGAATGTTTTCCATTCGTATGTTGTCCGTTTCTTTTTGACATTTTCGTTGTGCCTAAGCATTAAGAAGTGTCTTGCGAAATTGACTTGTGTCAAAACGGAATCTGTTTCAAAAAATGTCTATATGACTCGGCTGCCAACTTTCAGGAAAACTAGCTGCTATCTGAATCAGTTGATAACACATCCTAGGATTAGGATTTAAAATGATCGTGCAGCTAATGATACAGCATTATAGTATATCCGTTAGCCGTAACCGTTGGCTGTTGCGTCCCTCCTGATTAAGTGCGTCTTGCAACTAATTTTAGATCTGTTTCAAGCTCAGAGCAAATGCATTAAAAAAAAAAACAATTTAAAAATATATCACATTCTTTGGTAATTGTTATACCCCTTCTCCCCCCCCATCCACTTGTATACCCAAAAAATATTCAAAAAAACTTCCAAAAACAACAATCTTCCTTGTTTGATTGTGGGGAA